TATATATATATATATATATATATTGTAGGAAGAAATGCATACATAACTTTTTTTATATGCTTTATATTTGCATGGTATGACAAAGTAATACAACAATTTCGTAGAAAATCAGCTTTGCAATTTTTCAGTATGTTCCACATGTGGTGTTACAGCAGCACAAAATTTCTTGCATTATTTCAAACTTTTGCAATTTCATCCTTTACTCTTTATGAAAACCAAGTTTAATAAAAAAAATTTAGTCGTATTTGAGAAAATTTTGAAAATACAGTAGAACCTTGCTAATGCGAACCCCACACCTCCGAAATTTGGGATAATCCACACACAATTCGGGATGGAGGAAAAGTAAATGAAATAAATAAAATGCTTTTTGAAGTATAAAGAAAGAATTTTATACTTACCCTAGAACTTAAAAACTAATAATTGAAACACAAGTTGATGAAATTAATCATTTATTGCACTGGTAACTACAGTGTACATCACATGTTTATGTGGCAGTAGGTTTCACTTACAGGAATTTGCACATTCGATAATCTTCTTCTGGTGTAAGAAACTGAATCTGTTTGATGATGCGATCGCTATGTTGCATAGTGTCTGGCAATGCTATAGATGCATTTGTATATGTACAGTACATTTTTTGGATAATCTGAACATTTGTGAATCCGAACAAACCACAACCCCAATTAGTGTGGATTACCAGGGTTCTACTGTAATGAGGCTTCATGTAAAGTACCACTAAAATTCAAAATATGTTTCAAACAGACAGCCTCAAGAGATTTCAAATCGATCAAGGACTATCGCTGATGGAGAAAATCATTTGAACAGTTTTGATGCCAGCATTGACCACAGACGGACAAGGTAAATCATTTTTGTTTTTATCAATGTGATTTTACATAATTCTCATCAGTTCCAGGAGTTACAAATGTGTATAATTAATAGGAAAAATAAATTGTTTTTATAAACTGGATGAGGAGAGGGCGTGAGGTCCTAAAAATTGGTGAACCTTCAGTTTTTGGTGCTCCAACTGTATACCATACAGAACTGGTTAAATATTTTTTGTATTATTTCTATTGTTTGTTGCGGCACATCAACTGTTAAGGTTCCCCTAAGTATAGTGCATGCTTTTTCTTCTAGAGATGTTCTTCCTCCGCCATTGACTAGCGAGGATTTCCCCAGCCAGGCATGTCTAACTAGCGGAGCACCGCTCCCGCCGGGACCAACTCGAAGCTCCCGACCGGTCTGCCCGCATGTGTGGTGGTGTAGTGTATGTTAGTATAAGAATGTATATGTATGGGGTGAGGACAGGACAAGGAAGGGGAAGGAAAGATCGCGTGGGGTGCTTGGCCCGTTTGTTAGGGTTCTGCTCCAACATTCACCTGGTGTTGATTGGAGAAACCACAAATCTACCGATCAGAGCAGCCGGCCGCTAGAACTCGACCTATCAAGCTAGTGTCGAAAATCCGATCACCGTTGGGTCTCGAACCTTACACCTCAGGGTCAGGGACAATGCAGTCACAACTGATGCACTGAGCCACCTCTTCCAGTCATTATTTGGAAATAGACCAGTATTTGTATACGTGTTTATCCATAAAAAATAGTATTTGACAGAATGTGGTGTGAAAAACTAATTTTATTTTTAATTTTTAATCGCGATCTTTTTCTCTTTTTATCATGCAAGTTTTCAGCCCCCAATCACTTAATTTCGTGAACTTCTGAATTCTAAACTTCACGCTGGCCGTTTTCAAAGGAATAAAATCCTCGAACTTAAAACGCACGCGCCATACAGTAATTTACTTCGTAATTCCACGAAGTCACGATTCAACCGGCTGGATCAGTAGTGTTACGAAACACGTGCGGGCCCCATTTGTAAACACAAGTAGTGTTAGTACCTTCAATAATAAAAAATATTTCTTAAAAGTAGGCCCTCATTTCATTATGCTACTGATCCACCAGTTACTGCGGGTCCGAACGTGGCGCCTATGGGCTGGACCCAATGCCATGACTGGATCGAGAAATTTTTATCGCGCGAGAACGAGTTAGGGGCCTGTCTTTTAAGTGCGGAAAACACTGTCCATCGGATTTTACTTTCGGGAAATTCATCTTTAAAAAACATCGTAAAAGTTGTACGTAATAGTGTTTAATAATAACTATTGTACATTTTTCGATCTATTCGTTTTCCAACGCTCTCAGTGTCCAATTATGTATTAACTTTCTTGTATTCTGCTTAATTTTCGCACCAAATATTCTACGATTTCAAATGAGTTTTACAAAAAATAATTCGGAGAAAAATAATATTACATAACCATTATTAATGGAGAGTATGTGCTGTTTTAGCACCACTAGTTCTTCTATACTAGGCTGGGATGTATAAGGTCTCTTAAAATCGGTTTTTGCTCTCGGGCTTAAGGAACTTCTTAAAAAGAGAAAGTTATGTACTGTGTGTAATATAATGGTGCGCCACAAAAGAGGCGAATCCAGAAAACATCATATTGCCAGGCTCAGGTAACGCAAAAGTGGATAGCTTCTGTTGCTAAATTTAGAGGGAAAAATCCTTTAACACCTAGTGTAGACAGAATCCAGTTTTGTTGGTTCTTGATACAGAAAAACATGATGGAAAAACGTCCGTCTGTCGCCTAAACCGCTAAAAAGGAGAAGTTTGACATTTTTGCCACAAAGTATGTGGTACAAAACTTGCTCTTTAAAAAAGGTCACATACATGAAAAAAAAAAGAAAAAGAAAAAACAACCAACAAGTTTTCGCGTAATTTGCAAATTGAATTGTACGACTTTTTTTTAAAAAAAGCTCTAAATTTTTCTTTAAATTTTCTCCACTTATGTAATAAGAGACTGTAAAAAAGATGGTGATAGCCCTACTTTGGGGTATCGCTAGGTTTATCAAAAATTGCAACAAAAAGTAAAATAACATTTTAAAACTATAAAATTGAAGTTAGAGATTTTTGTGTCAGACAGTATTTTGCTCTAAATTATCTCTTTAAAAAAAGGTCGCGCACAATGTTTTGAAGAATGTTTTTGCGTAATTTTTGTTTGAAATTAATGAAATCTATACACGTGTCACACCAACTACGAGCCACGAGAAAAATTGAATGTATGATATGAAAAATTTAATTTTAAACATAGTTCTCTATTGAAAATGACAATATTAATTATATTTTTACTTCGTCGCACTTTTACTTTTAATTCGATTAGTATTCTCAATGTATAGATGTATTTCTTTTTAAGCAATCCGCAAATCTTAATGGAAATTTATGCAACAATGTCGCGTACATATTTGAGAAGCTCATTGTTGTTAAACGTTGAGATGGTGGCGGTGAAAAAACACAGCTGTGTT